TGTTGGTGTTGGCTATTGAAAAATGTTGGTGTCATTGCTTTGTTCAGGACAAACGCCCGTAATCCTTTTTATTTGTGCTTTTTCCCTTTTTTATTGTTCAGTGGACAAATTTATTATCCCTGAAAGCTTTCCATACTTCAAACAAATTACATATCACCACCTTCACCACCACCAATTTGGCTATCACTTTGCTGTTGTTCTCATCTTTTGCCTGCGTTTGCTCTTGCTCTCGTAGTGTCCATTCAAATATATTTTAGGTAGATAATCCTTAGCTTATTTTTGGTTCTCTCCTTACTTAGTTTGGTTATTCGTCTGTTGCGTCCGGCTAATAACTGATTCAACCACACTCTCATATTAGTAGTTTTCAATGTTTTCCGTTACTTGTGGGTCTGCTCGCTAGTCTTTGGGTCCTTGGGTTTGCTTAAGTATGGCGATAGTAAGTCATTGTCAAAGATACAAACAGCTCCATTCAATATACATAAATAATGACATATGGATGCGTTGTTCGCTTGCTCCTCGTTTACTTACTTGCTTGTATGTAGGACCATTTCATGGGCAATATGTAAGCTATGTAGACATGTAGGTATGTTCACATTAACAGAGGTGTACGTATGTGCGTATGTGCTTTGGGTCTATGTACAAATCGCTCGTTCGCTGGAAGGCCGTCATATTTAAGAAACTTTTAAATACAAGAAAAGCGGCTTTAAAGTTTTTAGTCAGTTTCTTGTCCTTGAACGAATAGATACATATAGTTACATACATATTTAATAGCTACAAAAATTTCAATGTATTCGAAGACCCTAAACTAATCTTTATCAAAGCTTAATTGGCCGTCATACAACTTGTGAAAGGGTGATTGTTTATTTTTTTTTAAGAAAAGGGAAGAGTGAGACAGAAGAAAAACTCTTTTCTTATAAAACACGACGATTGTTTGATTATTTATCACGTTCTTTCATCAAATGATTGGTATCACGTTTGAAGTTTGGAAATTTCTCAAAAACGCGCCGATAGATTTTCGGCTAAGGTCACAGAGAACGTCACTAGTTCACTAAATGCTTAAGCTATTTTGCTTTTATTATCTATAGCTAATTATTTTTGAGTTTATAAAGGATTTTCTTATCTTACAGCTTCTGCAAAACCTTTGAAAAGGCACGGAGAAGCTTTTCGGCTCGATCAGAGCTGCCACAATGTATTGCAAGTGGCGCATAGCATACCCATGCGTTCTTTACGAGGAAGAACCTGCTTGGTCATGCATTGCCTTGTAAGTTCATCTGTCATGCAGTTTCCCCCTATGACCTTATGACAATGGGGAGGGACCTACAGTTTTAAGTCGACTCCGAACGGTGATTGCATTTTTATGAGAAGCTGTTTTTCATGACAGAAATACACTTGGAAGTTTGTCATTGCCTGCCGTGAGGCGATAGCTATTTATTAGAAAAACTTTTTTGTTTTTTATTTTTTGATGTTGGGTTGAAGTAGACTTGAGCCCTTACCCTTCGGAATGGCAGCGTGCACTTTTAACCACTACACCACATCGGCCGCCTACGATCCAATAAATGTGATGGGCAAGAAACGTGTGGGACCTTGTGACGTTTATTACAACTGTCATATAAAGTTGGAGTCAGATGTGTGGTAAGAAAGAGACTTCGTCGCCGTTCTGGCGCTCACCCAAGTGAGCGAGTGTCTCGCCATAATCTGGATCAAAGTGAGATTTTTCATCATTTCGCTCACTTAAGCTCCCACCCCCCATGGAAGAGAAGAAAGTGGCGTCCAAAATTTTGTTCTATGAGAACCTAGATTTGGATCAAAGCCCGCAAAAAAAAACAGTTAAATCGAACCTGACGATTTAAGTGTCCGTTTAGGCGAGGAAGGGACTTTGATTGAACACTCGTAAAATCGTGCCATCCGATAACAAGCTGTGCTACATAGTGCTTCAAACACTCAATTTTCAAAACCTGCAGTGTCAATCGATTGCAGTATCTTCTTCAGTTTTTTTTTTGCATGTAATTTTTTTGCCAAAGGCAATTATCAATCAGTTTTATATTTTGACTTAAGAATAGTGATAATGGAATTTTTTTTTTAAATTTAATACTGCAGCAATGAACACAGCGTTTGAGGTTTATTCTTCTTTTAATGGAGCCCCGCTTAGGCGGCTCTTTATCGTCGGGATGTTTCGCATCCTAGCAGTCTGGTCTTTCGAGAGTCTTGAGATATTACACAATGCATATCCATCTCTGTCGATTTGAATATCAAATATACCGAAAATAAAAGCCAACCCAGCATCAATGGATTTAGCTTCTCGAATTAAGCATCCAGGTGATCCGTTTTATAAAAAACAATATCCTCCTACAGTTATCTGGTTTTAAATATTGAAGCTGTGATTTTTCTTCAAAATAGTTGAAAATGGCTAACAAAGTCTTTTGTAAAATCAGGTAGACTTGAGTAGAAGGTGTCAACATATTTTCACAACCATTTCCAACAAAACAGATGTCCCATCAAAGCCTCCAGATCTTTTTCGAGTATTATAGATTTTATCGGAAATCTTTCGTTTAGATCACTTAATATGTTTTACTTGGCCACAAAAAAATAAGTGGATTTCACTTTCCAATGTTAACAAGATGATCCATGACGAATATCTCAGTTCGTGAAAGCTTGAGACCTTGCAAGTTATGTAGATTTGATTCGATATATTTTTAATAAGATGGCATATAGAGTAACCGAAAAAATTGACCTGCTTACTTATTTTTATTTACTGCAGCACTTTAAATCATTAAACCACCAGACTATTAAGTCTTGGACGCATTCACTTACTAATAAATACGTCTACAAACTGCATGAGTACTTGAATGCATTTCTCGGATTATTGAAATTGTCAGAGCAGCAACAGAAAATGCTTTTAAAAACGTTCTTTACATAATTCAAACAATTACATACGTAGTTTTTATATGTACCTACATTAGGGTGGACCAAAAATATATGGGTGTGGGGGGAGTTTAAAATGTTAAGCTCTCACACCGTAACATTTTTCTCAATTAGGGTATTCACAACGGTGTCGTTTTGTTGTATGTCGTAAACTTTAAATGCCTAAAAAATATATTATGGGGATTCGCAAAATGCCATCAAAGTCATATTATGAATTTTCGTAGTGTTAAAAAGTAGTTGGTTGTGGTTTCAGGTTATCTAAACATTTATTTAGGCCTTTAAAGTTTACGAAATAAAACAATACGACACTTATGATATTTAGAACTGCCTTAAAGCCCACTAAGGTTCCTATGTATTTGACACGTTTTTGTAGAAATTTTATAACATTCTTGAGGAGACTTCCAATATTTAATACTCAATTGTTTGTTCAACCATTTATTAATATTCAGAATTTTTTATAAGGCCCCCCAAAAAACCCAAAAAATACAATGGGGAACCCATAAAAATCCTTAGTATAAAAAAGTGGTAAAATAAATTAAAGAGAAACTGAGTTTTCCCGTAAAAAAATATTGATGTTTTTTCTCTATATCAAATTCGTGGAAAACTTCATTGGCTCTGAGGCAGTTCTAAATACAATATTTTTTTACTATTCTTTTATTCCATTTATAAAAAACCTAGAGGTGAGAGCTGAACATTTTAAACCTTTTATTGGACCACCCTAATGTACATGCATATATACTTGCACATACCATCTTCATGTTGTAAAAGGTTTGTTTGAAGTTCGCAATATCATCGAGCTTTTCTCTTGGCTTTCTCTCGTACAATTCTATTGTGCTGGCTATTTCTTGCTCTTTGGTGCTAGCATTTGAATAGTTATTTCCGGTTGGTGGCTAATATTTTGTGACATGTTTTATTTATGCTTTCTGCTGGTTTTATCTTTGTTACGAATGACTGGTGTGTACGCTTTTTCATGCAACCAGATCTATGCAGATGTGCGATGTGTGCAGATGTATTAAATGAAATCTACTCAAGATGGCTGGTAATTGATTTGCTCTAAGGAATACTCTGAATAAAGAGGATTAAAGGCATTAGAAATGCAGACAATTTAATAAAACACGTACAAAATGGGATAACCAAATGTAAAGAGTAGTACTGGGATGAGCGCGATAGGTTCTCCTCATTTGTTTGTCATTTAATGAAGCTTTTCTAATAGCTGGTCAGTTCAGGCTTTAGTACTTTTCAACTAACAGCATGCCTACCTTCCAAGGAACGTCTGTGGATACTAAACTATAATTAGACTTCACAGAAATTATGGCTTGCTGAATTTGGCAATCTAACAAAGCATTTATTTATTTCACTTACATTTACATCGGGAGAGAGAGATGTACAAAAAAATTCCAAACCTTTTTGTGATATTCCAAGTTTCTTTTCAGTTTAAATCTAAGTTTGTAGAAAGCTGCCTTAGCTGATTTCATGGTTTTATTAATTGTGAGCCAAGCTGCTTTGAAGTGGCTACAGATTTTCGCAATTTTGTATTTTTTCCATCGGGGGTTGTTAAATACATAGGTTGGGGAAAAAGTTTCTTCAAAGTGAGCCAAGACTTAACGTTTATCTTTACAAAGCTTTTATTAACTTTCACCTGTGTGTAATCAAATCTTGCAATCAATTTTTAACTAACTAGTCGATGAGCTAGAAACTTGAACTTAAAACTTGGCTTAGAGCCTGATGACACAACAATATGAAAGATAAATTAATCCGCAAGGTGGCGCAAGTGTCGAATGCTTGAAAACTCCGTATTTATATTACGATTTGGCTCGTATTTTGAATGAGATATTTGGGAATTTTGAACCTATATTACTTAAATAAAAAAAAAAAAATAACTCGAAAAATATTTTGCTCTTAGATGGTGCGGCGGTAGTTTTTCTTGCTTTTGTTAACCTCTAATAAAAACTTGTATTACCATTTGTTTATAAAACTTGTTTAACTTTAATGCATAAATTCGAAATTTTCTTGAAATAATTAACAAGAAATGAAAATTTCTCTAAGCAAAATTCGTCACTTCTACCTCAACCATTATTTTAATGGCTTCTTAAACGGTATTTCTTTACAGTTTTGTAGTGGTAGCCATCCTGGGATACAGGAGTCTCAATAGGTTGCAAGTACTCAGCGGCAGGTGGCAAGTATTGCGGTTGTGGTGCTGGAGGCAGATATTGTGGTTCTGGTTGGACAGGAGGCAGGTATTGTGGCTCCGGTGTGGGTGGCAGATATCTAGGCTGTGGCTGCACAGGCGGTAGGTATTGTGGTTCCGGTGCGGGTGGTAAGTAGTGTGGTTGCGGTTGCGGAGGTAAATAATGTGGCTGCGGTGCAGGGGGAAGATAATGTGGCTGCGGTTGTTCTGGTGGCAAGTAAGAATTGGAGAGTTGGGAAACATCGGCAGCCACGCAGCCAATTAGAGCCAATATTGCGATGGCGAATTTCTGTAAAAAATAGAATTAGAAATTTTTTTAAAAATATTTCAAAGAGAGCAATTATATATAAGTGCAAACTTGAGGAGACATTAACATATTTAATTAGTGCCAATATTTTCAAATTATATAGTTTTGAAAAAAGCAATTTCAAAATTTTGTACCCACCATTTTGACTTGTCTTTATATAACTGTTTACTACGAGTAGTAAAGTGAATTTGATGTTCTACAAATGCATGTATTCGCCTTTTATACCATGCCAAAATCTAAAATTATTACATTCAAAACTTGACATTGAAATTAGAGGAAATTGATGCACCAAACTTCAATAATTAATAAGACATCACAATTACTAAATTAAAAAGAAAAAAAGTATCAATCGTCGCATTCATTAAAGTGGCTTCACATTAAGGTAGGTCACGTGCATCTCTGACCTTCTTTCGCATCATTCAAATTTTGTACACGCANTTAATAAGACATCACAATTACTAAATTAAAAAGAAAAAAAGTATCAATCGTCGCATTCATTAAAGTGGCTTCACATTAAGGTAGGTCACGTGCATCTCTGACCTTCTTTCGCATCATTCAAATTTTGTACACGCAATAGGCCGTTATTAAAAATACAGCATAGTTGGCAAGTTAATAAAGTTTAAGGTAAGAAAAAATTAGTCCTCATATCAACATACTTGTACATCCAAAATTAGTATATTAATGCATTCATATATAAAAAAAAAACATTTTTGTATTTGCTTTTCGTAGGCTATGCTTACTTTAATTGGTTTAGGCCTGTTGTGAAGACAGTGTTATTGTCTTAAGCCGATGAAAGCAAACAAATAAAGAGTAAACAAAAAATATTTAATAATTAGAGAAGCAGCGGAAGACTAGTTATCAATAGCGAGACATACTAACCTCATAGCAACCTATGTATGTACATTAGACTGCATCACCGACAAAAGTGGCGGTTTTTCCGCCGGGATTATAAAACTTATTTTATTTTCAGACGTCCACCAAAATATTTCGGACAAATATTAAGATTTTGCTGGAGCGATTTAAAAATACATCCAAAAATGGAGTTTTTATGAATAAAAATAGTTTCTTAAAGAACTTAAAAAAAAAACACCGTCAGATGACAAAACAGATTAAGCTCAAAAAAATCTGCATAAAAATACATAAAATTCTTTTTAACGGAGTCATAAAATGAGGTGTTTTCCCACTCTTTTATATTTCCATCTTTTTTTTATTTTTGTGGAAAAAGAAATTAACGTCAAATTTTTAATTATTATTTTTCAAATACTAACGCATCTTAATTCAACTTGTTCTTCCTACCTTTCTCTTTCATCCTGTGAATGAATCTATTAGCAAAGGCATAAAAAGGGTGAGACAATACCTTTTCAATGGTATCTCACAAGTCAAAATCGGAATAGTTTGGGTTCAGTTATTCAAGTTTTTCGTAAATCAATCTTTGAAAAAAGTTATAAGATCGCTTCAAACATCTCATTATTACGATTCCATTGAACATTTTGTTTAAATATTTGTATGCAAATTTTTTAAGCTTAAACCGTTTTATCATTAAAAAAAAATCTTTTAGAAAATGGAAACACAGTATCTACCGATTTTTATTTTTCTTTTTTTTGTATGGAACAAATTGCAAACCCGCGTATTTGAGGTTGCAAAAATTCTTTTCTAGTGAGTAAAAACACTCATATTTCAAAATGGTTCTCTTTTTTATAAAGCAAAATCGTGTTGACTTTTTTTTGCTGACGGATTTTTGCACTTTTTTCGATATAAGCATGAATTTCTTAGGGACCAAAATGCGCAGGACCATTTGCAAAGAAAATTAAAAAAACAATTAAGGCCAGTTTTTATGCATTGGACTTGTTATATACAAAAAAAAAACACCACAAAAATTATCAGCAAAATAAATTAAATAAATAATATAAAAAAAACTTTTTAATATACAACGCTTT